AGACTCGCTTGAGCCCAGGAGTTGGAGGTTGCTGTGAGCTGTGAAGCCACAGCACTCTACCCAGGGGGATAGCTTGAGGCTCTGTCTCAAAAAAAGTAAGGTTATATGCCAAATGTTAACAGATAGATTCTGAATTTTAAAAAAAATTTTCTATGCTTCCTAACTTACACAATAAATCACCTTTACTTAAAAGAACTGAAATAATGAAGTTAATAGTTTCTACAAAAATTTCTTATGAGTGCTAGATATTATAAAACATACTTTCCCTCTTCTACTCTATACTCTAAATACAACTTAAAAGAGAGAAAAAAAGGAATGACATGATTTAGGACATTGCTACCTTGAATACGACATCTTGGCATATTGAATATAATAGTTATAAAAAGTCTAAAGCAACCGAAAGATTTGAGCATTTAAATCCTCTGCTAAAAGTCACCAGAATCAGTGAAGGCAAACCATGTGCTTGTCAAAAACAGTTCTATAAATTTATAAATAGGACTCATAAATTTATCATGCTTTATGGCTAACAATGATGATACTGTTGTTGAGAACTGAGATCACAATCTAGTTTGATCATAATCTAAATTTTAGCAGAACAAATTATTCATTTAGTCTTAAATAAGAAATTCTTAAATTTGCTAACAATAATGAGAAATTACCAGTTGGTCTGAAATTAATATCTTCATCCATCTTTATTAAGTCCAGGGATGATAAATCATTCAGATTCTTTAAACATAATTCTGTAAATTATAGAAAACACATTTTGGTTTTAGTAAAATAGGAAAGTAGGGAAAAATAAAATTTATTATTAAATATACTGAAGGTGTGTTATTATGTAATGTAATTTTTCTGAGAAGAACTGTAATCCCAAGGTAAGTGGTAAGAAAAACCCATTTAAACAAGAGCTAACTATTATGCTAAAAAGATTTTCTAATAATAACAATAATGCAAATAATAAATAACATTTAATAAGTGATAAAATAATACTTGTAACTTATAACACCTTATTTTTTAAAATTTATTTATTTATTTAGACAGAGTCCCATTATGTTACCCTCAGCAGAGTGCCATGGTGTCACAGCTCACAGCAACTTCTTGCCTTAGCCTTCCACGACGTAGCTGGGACTATAGATGCCCGCCACAACACCTGGCTATTTTTGTTGTTGTTGTTGTGGTTGTCACTGTTGTTTAGTAGGCCTGGGCTGTGTTTTAATGCCAGCTCCAGTGTATGTGGATGGTGCTCTAACTGCTGAGCTACAGGGACCGAGCCAACTTGGAACATCTTAAATGACATAAATATATTACCTCATTTAATTTTCAAAATAATACAACAAGCTAGGCGTTCACATTATTTTCAGATACAAGTTGTATCTGAAACAAGAAACTAAGTAATTTATACCAAGTCTATTCTCCATTATGATGGTGGTTTTCTTTTTCTCTTCTCTTTAAACTGCTATCAAAGATATATACGCATGGCCAGGCACAGTGGCTCATGCCTGTAATCCTAGCACTCTGGGAGACTGAGGTAGGTGGATTGCTTAAGCTCAGAAGTTTGAGAACAACCTGAGTAAAATCAAGACCTTATCTCTACTAAAAGTAGAAGGAAACTATTTGGATGTGGTGGCAGGCAACATAGTCCCGGCTACTGAAGGACTACTGGAGGCTAAAGCAAAAGGATCAGTTGAGTCCAAGAGTTTGAGGTTGCTGTGAGCTATAATGCCACAGCATTCTATCCAGGGCGAATGAGTGAGACTCTGTCTCAGGAAAAAAAAAAAAAAAAAAAAAAAAAAAAAAAATATATATATATATATATATATCTACACACAAACACACATTTATATGTATGCATGAAATATAAAGAGTCAAAGTTTTACAAAGATTATTTCAAAAACCATCAGTCTTTCCCTTCCTCTTTGTTTGCCACTGTTTTAGTTGATGCTTTTAGTATTTACTTTCCTTTCTCTGACTATGCCAACATTGTGACCTGGAAGGAATGCTCCGAACAGGAAGCGATGCACCTTCATGCTCACTTATTGAGGAGGATCAGATCAGCTATAGTAATCTGTTGCTTAATAGTTCCCTCTCCCACTCACCCTATAGCCCAGGGGATAAAATGTAGTTCAGAGCAGACAATGCGACTATAACAATCTGTTCAATCCTAATTGAGGCTCAAAAAAGCCATTAAAAGGAAAGGCTCTCTGGGAAATACTTCAGTTTAAGCAACATTATTTGGGCAGCTTGACAGTTTAAAGTGTTTGATTAAGTAAAGTGTTTTAAGTCTTTTCTAATTTTCTTAACTATGCACTGTAAGTCAGTTCATTATCCATTATTCAGCCCTTTAATTACTCAATGAAGAATGCTTACTATACTATATGCTGAACACTAATTCTAAGCTCTAGGTTTACAGCAGTGAACAAGACAAAGTTCCTCTTCTATGGAATTTATAGTTTACTAAAAAAGCAATCAATATAAAATAAATAATAAATTTTTTGGCATTGAAAGGTACTATGAAGAAAAATAAAGTTGAGGAAAGACCTGGAGAATGATAGAGTTTTTTTTAATTAAAGCTTTTAACTTAAGCTTATCTGGATTTCTGATATAAGCTATGTAATTTCTGACATAGAATAAGGATACATGTATATATAGTTATCCTAATTTTCAAAATAAATAAATCATCTTTTCTAAGAACAAGAAAAACAGTAACAATATCATACAAATAATATGTCTTCCTCTCAGTAAAGGTGGATTTAAATAAGATATTACGGGAAGACCTCTTTAAAGTCAACATTTAAACAGAGACTTGAATGAAATGAAGGTGCACATCATGTATAATATGTGAGAAGTGTTCCAAAGAACACTAGTATCAGAAGAAACTTGGAGTGTTTTACCACAACATGGCAGACAATTTGGTGAGGAAAAGAACAAAAAAGTGACAAGAGAAGAAGTCAGAGAAACAGGTAGGAAGATATCAAGTAGGACTTAATAGGCTGTGGTGAAAGTTTGTGTTTTATTCTAAGAATGACAGAGAAGCTATTAGAGAATATTGAACAAGAAAGTATAACCCACTTTAGGAAATAATGTATGCTATGGGCCCTGCCTGAGAGATTAAGACAGACCTCCAAGGATAATGACAAAGCTCATCAAATGCTAGCCCAAACGACTAGGGCCTCAGAAACAAGAAAGTCACTCTGACCTTTGCCTGCCATTCTGTGTGAAGCATAGTCAAAAAGGAATTATCTTGCCTGAAAGTAGGTAAGGAATGTCCTGCCCCATTCCTGAGGGGGAAGGAATGCTACATAAGCAAGAATCTGAACAAACAAACCTTGCTAAGTTCCCCAGTTGATTACCATTAGACTGCACTCTTTTTATCTAATCATGTTTCTCTACAACTATGTATTTCTTTCATTAACTTAGCATAGAAACATACAATTTCCCCTGGGGCTTTGGACTTTTTTTTTTTTTTTTTTTTTTTTTTGAGACAGAGTCTCACTCTGTTACCCTCCAGTGCTGCAGTCTGAGCCCAGATCACAGCTACCTCAAACTCCTAGGCTCAAGGTATCCTCCTGCCTCTCAAATTCCTGAGCTCCAGGGATTCTCCCACCTCAGGAGTGCTAGGATTATAGGCATGAGCCAGTGCACTCAGCCTGGGTAATCATTTCTAAAGGCTCTTATATCACATAGAATTTTGATTAAATAAATTTGTCATGCTTTTCTCTTGTTAATCTATCTTTTGTCATAGGGTTGTCAACTGTTAACCGGTACAATGGGTGAGGAAAAGATAATACTTTTTTTCTCCCCTATATTTTTTACTTTTACTGGAGAGTCTCAACACAATGAGGAGGCAGCGATTTCTAATCCTTATAAATGCTTAACAATATTCTGACATTTTAAAAGACAGGTAATGAAATACTAAGTGATTAAATAATAAAGCTGGGGTTAGACAGGAATACCTTATCAGCACAGACTGGGATAAGAGGCCCATAATCAAGCCAGGCTTATATTTTTAATTAAAATCAAACCAGAGGCTTGGCACCTGTAGCTCAGTGGCTAGGGTGCCAGCCACATACACTGGAGCTGGCGGGGTCAAATCCAGCCCAGGACTGCCAAATAACAATGACAACTACAACCAATAAACAGCTGGGTGTGTAGTAGGAGCCTGTAGTCCTAGCTACTTGGGAGACTGAGGCAAGAGAATTGCTTAAGCCCAAGAGTTTGAGGTTGCTATGAGCTGTGATGCTATCGTACTCTACCCAGGGTGACAGCTTGAGACTCTGTCTCAAAAAAAAAAAAAAATTAAACCAGTAAAAAAAATATAAAGAGTACATATCTATAGGCAACATTTTCAAAGACAAGAGTGATTTTAAAAATAAAAAAACAAATAAACCAAGGTAACATATCATACAAAGGAAGACATTCTCATAGAATTAATAAATAGATCAAAATTCAGAAAAAAGCTTTATTTATACATGAAAAAATTCATATATTTTTTCTGCATCCAAGTTTCCTTTTAAAAAAATAATTTACACAAGAGTATTCTTACTTTTGTAACAAGTGAATTTTATCATTGAGATTTATAGAATATAATTTTTAGAAGGAAATGCATCTAACCTTGTAATTTTGCTTCAATTCCATCTTTGTTCAATCCAGATGCAAAACCTGTATAAGTCATGAAAATTCATAAAATATAAAATGGAATGGACTTAGTCTCTATAGCCTCAGTTTATACCCCATTTAGAGAAGAGTACTTTGATGAAATCTTATAAAGGAAAAATAAAAACAGCATACTGAGATCAAACAAAGTTTAAATATCTATAGAAAACAACTGCTGTTTTAAAATCTTTTCAACAGATTTGGGTATCTTTTACCCATTTTACTAAATAATAGTGACTAGGATTTCTCTATTTTGACAAGAATAGTGTAGAGTAAATTCCTAATGATCTACACATAGTAAATATCTCTCAAGTGATTAACATTTTCTAATGGACTCTCATTATCAAATGGACGTTCCTATGAAAACATGTTTGGTAATACAACCATTTTGTGCTATTTATCAAACTTGTAACTAAACATACTTTATAACAATAATATCATTCCTAAGAACATACCTACAGATATACACTTACCTGCACACCAGAGAACATATATAACAATGTTAACAGCAGCATTATTTAAAATTAAGAATTTCCTTTCATCAAAAGATTCTTTATAAAAATGAACAGTCAAGGCATAGACTGAGAGAAGAGATCTGAATACATATATTTGACAAAAGACTCTTATCCAGAATATCTAAAGAATTCCTATATGTTAATAATACAAGCATCAACAATCTAATTTAAAAATAGATGAGATCTGAATGGGGTACTTCACAAAACAAAGTATTTAAATGGCTATGAATATAACCTTAGTGCTTGTACTCACAAAGGAAACGTGAAAGGAAATCATAAAGAAAGCTACTATACAAACAAGAATGGCCAAAATTTTAAAAACTGACAAAATTTACCGTCCCCAAAATAATGAGGACTTTCTAGAACTCCCATACATTGCTGCTGAACATATAATCTGGTCCAACTGCTTTATAAAATTACTATATTGAGGAGTATCCAATAAAGCTAAACTTAAGTCACAGCAATGACCCAGCAATTTTACTCCAAAAGATGTATAAAAGAATGTTCACAGTTTTATTTATTATAGTCAGAAACTGGAAAAGACCCTTATGTTCATCAATAAAAGAATGGATGATTAAATTGTGGTATATTCACACAACTGGAGTTTGCATGATAATAACAAAGAAAAACTACTACTACTAATGCACCCAATAATAGGGAGGGATCTCATAGACACATTGAGAAACAAAAAACAAAAACTATTATCCAGTAAATACTGCGCAATTCTATTTATATTTAAGAATAGATAAGCTGACCTATAGTAAAAGAAGTCAGAATAGCATTTACTTCTGTAGGTGGATATTGACAGAGAAGATGCATGAGGGAACTTCTGGAAAATGTTCTAACTCTTGATTTGGGCTGTGGTTACATGTGTGTCTGTATACACACATATGTAAAATTGCATTGGCCTTATGTCTAAAATTTATGCAATTTATTGTATGTAAGTGATACCTCAATATAAAGAAAAGGAACTACAAAAAAATAAAGCAACCAAGAAAAGGAGGAAATGCAAATTAAAACATAAAAAGATATCATTATTCACACATAATATTGATGAAAATACACAAGTATATGCCCTGAAGGTGAGACTAAAGAAACAAAAAATATGGAGCAGTTAGGCAGCAATTTAGCAACAGCTATCAAATTTATAAATGCATATATCCTTTAATAATCCCATAAATAAATGCATATATCCCTAGTAATTCCATTTCTAGGGATTGATCAAATAGATTCAAACATGTGAAAAAAGCAGTTTTTGTTTTTGTTGCATTTGTAAAGGCAAACAATTATAAAGAGTATAAATATTCATCAGTGGGATGATATACAAAAGAACAGATAGGTAAAATGTAATATTATTTAGCTATTTAAAAAGCCAGTGGTTAAGGTGTCAGCCATATACACCAAGGCTGGCGGGTTCAAACCCAGCTCGAGCCTACTAAACAACAATGACTACAATTAAAACAAAAAAAAATTGCTGGGTACTGTGTTGGGCACCTACAGTTCCAGCTACTTGGGAGGCTGAGGCAAGAGCATCACTTAAACCCAAGAGTTTGAGGTTGCTGTGAGCTATGACAGCATAGCACTTTACTGAGGGTGACAAAGTAAGACTGTCTCAAAAAATAAATAAATAAATAAAAACTTCCAAGATATACTAAGAAAAAAAAAAAAAGAATGCACAGAACAATAAAATAATTATGGTTTAAAAAATATGCCCATAAATTCTTTGATATTCTGTCCTCTAAGAGGGGAACCTAATTCTTCTTGCCTCCATGTGGCCAGCAACTTGATTCTAAAAAACGGAATAAAGTAGAAGTGATAATGTATAACTTTGACAAGGTTATAAGACACTGCAGCTTCTGACTTTGTCTGTCTGTCTGTCTCTCTCCCTCTTAGATCACTCATCCTGAAGGAAAGTTACTTGCTATGCCATGAGGAAAGGTCCACTTGGTAAAAAAACAAGGCCACTTGATAATAGTAAGAAACTGAGGCCTCAGGTGGTGCCTGTGGCTCAGTGAGTATGGTGCCAGCCCCATATACCGAGGGTGGTGGGTTCAAACCCAGCCCGAGCCAAAATGCAACAAAAAATAGCTGTGTGTTGTGGTGGGTGCCTGTAGTCCCAGCTACTCGGGAGACTGAGGCAAGAGAATTGCCTAAGCCCAAGAGCTGGAGGTTGCTGTGAGCTGTGATGCCATGACACTCTACCAAGGGCGATAAGGTGAGACTCTGTTTCTAAAAACAAACAAATAACAACAACAAAAAAAACTGAGTCCTTCAACAACTGTAAGCAAACCTTCTTAGAAGTGAATCCTGAAGCCTTTAGATGACTGCTTCCTTTGCTGACATCTTGTTGCAAAAATCAAGAAAGATCTAGCCCAGAACTACCTAGTTAAAACAATCCCAGATTCCTAACCTATGTAAGTTGTATGAGATAATAAATGCTGGCTGTTTCAAGATGCTAAGTCTCGGCTCGGCGCCTGTGGCTCAACCGGCTAAGGCGCCAGCCATGTACACCTAAGGTGGCGGGTTCGAATCCCCAGCCCGGACCCGCCAAACAACAATGACGGCTGCAACCAAAAAATAGCCAGGCGTTGTGGCGGGCGCCTGTGGTCCCAGCTACTTGGGAGGCGGAGGCAGGAGACTCGCTTGAGCCCAGGAGTTGGAGGTTGCTGTGAGCTGTGATGCCATGGCACTCTACCCAGGGGGACAGCTTGAGGCTCTGTCAAAAAAAAAAAAAAAAGATGCTAGTCTCAGGGTTATTTCTTACAAAGCAATAGAAAACTAACAAAAGTATGCCACCACTTGTGCTTACAAAGTGGAAAAATAAAATTATATTTTCTTATTTGCTTTTATATGCAAGAAAAGGAAGAATAGAAAAAAAGGCATACCTATGATTGGAGAACTGGAAGAGGGAAAAGAGAGAAATGGGAACTGAACAACTATGTGGATGGGGATAGACATGGAAGACTTTTAGCTGTATATATTCTTATACTATATAGTTTTTGAACTAAGTAAATATGTTACCTAGTTAAAATATAAATTTTTAAATAATATAGATATTTATATAGGCAATTCTTATACTAGGCTATCAGGCTTATATTATCCTTGAAAATCTGAAAGTTTAAAACCTGAGCATGTTAGAATGGTATTTATAATGAGTCAGGTTTTAATTTGACATTCAGCAAACCCAGGAATACCCTGTACTACATGAAAAAAAACCTCTAGAAGCAACATAAGTAGATGTACGCTGGCTTTAGAAGCAGTATTAAAATTACACAGCAGAAATTGAAAAATGAACCATCACAAATTCAGACTAAGTAGATGGTTGAACAGTTAAGTACAGAGAAAACTTAAGGCTTTTTCAAACTTTTAAAAAAATGATTTAGACTTTTTTTTCTTTTTTGCAGTTTTTGGCCGGGGCTGGGTTTGAACCTGCCACCTCCAGCATATAGGGCTGGCGCCCTACCCCTTTGAGGCACCAGCACTGCCCCGATTTAGATATTTTTGTTATTTTTATTAGAGTTAATTTTTTTCTGCTAGGTTAAGTTTTTCAACATCTTAATGTTGATTTCAAACCTCACTGAAAGAATACAGAGGGTGCCAAAAATATATATATACATTTTAAGTGATGTTATCTGTTTATTACTTTTTGAAGATAAAACTGAAGGTACCATTACTGGTCAAGTGTACCTAGACATCCTATGCACATTCATTTTACCTGCAATTTGTACCCTCTTTAGAAATGATCGATTTAACTTCCAACAAGATCTCTTTAAATGTGTATGCATTTTTTGGCACTCCTAGTAGAAGTAAAACAAAGATTTCTCACTTTTATCTACTCTTGCCTCTAAATGTATTTGTGACTATTGTTACCTTTTGCTTCTGTTACTTATTAGTTTGTGTAATCTATTCTGAAACCAATTGGTACAAATATAGGCCTAGTTGGCTTGAAAAAATTACTACTTTTCCAAATCAAAGAAACAAACCATAATGAGATGGATTTTTCAAGGCTCTGATATAAAGAAAGGTTGACCGTATCCATTCCAAGGCAATATTCACATCTGTGATGGTATGCAATACTATTTCTGCATTTAAATGTTCAATGAGATGTCTGTGTAAACTAAAAGGAAAAAAAAAACAGCATTACTACTATGCATTTCAATAACATAACTCTGACTTTTTTAACTTTAGCAATATATAATATACTCATGGCTACTTTAATAATTCATAAAATCTAACTTCCAAAAACATAAAAGAAAACCATAAAAACTTGAGATTTCTATTACTTAACTCTAGAAGACAGATTATTACTTTAAAAAAAATTGAGGATGAATTATATCCTATTTTCTCCTAGAGAAAATAAATCAAATACTTTACTAAAAGGCCCCAGATTGCCTCTCTTCTTTTTTTTTTTTTCTTTAGTGACAGGGTCTTACTCTGTTGCCCAGGCTAGAAGGCAATGGCACCACAGCTAACTGCAATCTCCAACTCCTGGGCTCAAGCAATCCTCCTTGCCTCAGCTTCTTGAGTAGCTAGGACTATAGGCACCTGCCACCACACCCTAATTTTTATTTTTTAATTTTTCTGTAGAGATGGGCTGTCACTATGTTGCTCAGACTGATCTTAAACTCCAGGCCTCAAGCAATCCGCTCACCTTGGCCTCCCTAAGTGCTAGGATTACAGCATGAGCCACCATGCCTGGCCTTCTTTCTCTTATTATCAAACAAATTTTAAAGATGTAAAAATGGTGTTTCGCCTCTTACTATAGATTAGTAATTATAAATTTTTAAAATTTAAGATATAGGTTATAATATACTAGTAATTAATAGGGCTTTATTATAAATTAGCCATGTTATAAACAAGAATACATGCTAATGAAACACCACTGAATAAAATTATCTTCTTAAAAAGAACTACAAAATTCCCTACAGGAAAATGACCTTAAAAAGTCTTTGAACCGGCTCGGCGCCTATAGCTCA